TAAATAGACCCGATTCTGTTACTTAATTTGAAATGAACTTTGTGAATTAAAAGAGAAATCGTTGGTACGTTATTTGCAATGCTTAATTTTCAAAGCTTTTCATTTGCAGCATTTAAATTTTGTTCATATATTTAATTTGTTGCTAGCATTTCCATTAAACAAAATCCAAAAATCAGTCCTAATATTAAATTTGTAAATGTGAGTGATTCTTACAGTTTAATGTAATATGTGTTGCATTGCCTCACTATAAACAGCGTATCCTTTTCCAAATTGTTGCCACCAAATATTATCACCCTATATTATTTTTAAAGAAATTAAATAATGAAGATTCTACATTATATGAATGTATGTTTCTCACATTTTGAAAAAACGATAGTACTTGGAGCCATTAAATTTTGAATAATGTAGTCCTCCACCTCAGCATGTGCACCTGGAAGACCCAATTTTGAATTTCCAATTTGCTTTATTATTTATTTAATATTTTGTAAAATTCTAATGAATTTTTTATTAACAAACTTAATTGTATGAAAGCAAATAGTGGCTACTGTTCAAAATAAAGCATTCTTATCTTAGCACATGAGACATGTTGCAGTTATAATCGGGAAAATGTAAAATATTCATTTTTTTTTTTTTTCAATTTAATTAACAAACTCGACTCTATGAAAGCAATATGTTGCCGCTGTAATAAATTCTTTTACCTTCCACTTGTCAGCATGTTGCTATTCAGTAAAGCCTAAAATACCTTCAAATTTAATCTGGATACTTATCAAATAAAAATCTAAGCAATTTAAAAACAATAAGTGCAGTTCTTGAGAATATGTTTTTGCTACTTTTCAATGTCATTGATTTAAATAAACATGTTTTAATATTACGACCTGTTTAATTAGTATTCAATATTTGGTACTGTTCTGTTATTGGGGTCAGATTCAGAAATGTATGAATGTATATGCATGTATGTGCATATATACATGCATACATTTCTGGATCCAATTCTGATAACAGAACAGTACCAATAATTTTGTGAAACTACATTAGTTGGACTCATCATTATATATGTTTTCCTTTTTATGGTAATATGTTAGGCAAAGTTTTGAAAGAAAAATTATGACGAATATTAAAATATGTGAGAAAAACTCTAACTCTCTATCGGGAATTCTCAATGTTCTTTTTAAATATATTGTGATTTTGCTTTTGAATTGAATTTTATTTGACCTGATACCTGAAAGGAACCTGATACTTAATAAATAATTTAACACATACAAAGTTAACAATGAAAAGATTTTAAAAAAAAAGTGTTAGTCATCTTACTAAAAAAACTGAATATATTGATATGATGAGCTAGGTAAAAACTGAAAAGAATACAAAAATGTATGCCAACACTCCATCGGAAGCTCTAAACATACACTTCTTTTCAGCTTTTAAAAACTTTGTGATTTTGGTGTTCAACTGTATGTGGTGCGAGCGCAAAAATGATGCTTAATGATAAAGCTAAAAAGAACCCCCCCCCCAAAAAAAAATAAAAGCAGGAGCAAGTGCGACAACTGACTGATAGACTGCATGCTCAGTGAAAGCATTAAAAAAAGCCTTAACAAACCCTTTTGGGTATCCATAAAAATCTAAAAACCTTTCAGTTTTTAAGTGTTTTTGTAAGATAATCCATTTTTCTTATCAAATTGGATATATTGACACAAGTATATCAAATCCTTTGGTCTTTTGAAGTTCATTATAATGGAATTTGACTAGTGAATTACTAATATGATGAATGAATTCGACTAAAGATTCAATTAACAAATTTTGAAAGCTGTGAATAAATACATAATGCAGACATAGGTGCATAAAATTTTCAACTACCACACAGAGAACTTTGTTCAAAGTATACACTAGTCTGTTATTACAAGGAGCACCCTGAGTAACAGCAAAGCGAGAATTGTTAAAAAAAATCATATTTTTATGTACAAAATATCAACAGCTACCATTTTTATTATCAACATGCTTTTAAATTATGAAGAAATGCATTTTGTGTCAATACACGATTTTGTCTAATTTTTATATATCTGGTAATTCATCAAAATGCATAGCTTATAAAGAATGCAATAAATAATGGTTATAAACATAACCTTTTATCAGCCACCCTGCACTTATTACAACCAAATTTTGCTATACTGTATTTGAAATTGAAAACATTTAATACATTGAAAACAATACAATCTCCCATAGTGACTGCATCTGAGGCCAATAATAACTTTAAATATCACTATTATCAAAGATTTTCCTGCCTTCACAGAAAATCAAAACCGTCTGGAACACTGATACTGTTAGTCATCTTTGAGCAAAAATTCTTTTATAAGGTTATAAGGTTCTTTTATAAGGTTCATCAGTGGTCAAGCAGCAAAATATCTAACCACTATATCAATTTAAGAACTACCAGTTTAAATCCTGGTGAATAAGCTGACTATGTGAGAGTTTTTGTGGTTTTTTCCACGAGTTTTAACAGAGATTCCTTCAACTAATTATTGCTTATTATTGAATAGTTATTTTGTAAAATAAAACAATAAAATAATTGATCCATCTTAATTTAATTTAATGTTAGTTTAATCTTATCGCCAAGTCTCAAAAATCTATATAGAGATCTACCTTTAAATTCTCCCATTATCATTCTCATGTAACTCATATCACACATTCATTTATTAAGGAGATGATTAAATTAATTCATAATGATTTTCACACATTCATTTATTTAATTCATTAGAGAATCATGGGATTATTAGTGTACTACGAAATAACACTTGTATGTTAACTAAGAGAATCATATTAGCTTAAAAATTAATTCATACATTGCAAGTGAAAAATTGGTAAAGGTTTACAATTGGGTGCCCCTTGTTTTTCTGGCGATTTTTTTTTTATGCCAAGATCGGCGCCAGGAAGGCACAATTTCAAGATGGCAACACAAAACCATAATAACAAATTAAAAATTGCACAAACTCGATGTCTATATACACATCGCTCTATTTTTACTTTTAAAAAAATCAGAGAATTGCACAAACTAGGCATTGTGCACTGCCTTAACTTTGTCCATGTACACATAGATCTATTTTCATTTAAAAAAAATCAGGAAGCTAAAACAAAATTAAAACTATCATGGTAACCAGAAATGGGGTTTTATAGCCAAAATGGAGCAAAATTTGTCGCTAATCAAAGAGGCACCCAGTTCTACACTAGAGCCAAAAAATTAATTAAATAATAATGCACAAAATTAAGTACTATAACATTTTTCAGAATTATTTCGCGCAAAATTAACCGCTGAATATCCAGAACGACAGAATAATATTAAACAGCTTCAAGTACCCAATGACTTCTTAAAAGCCATATATCTCACTTGAAAGGAAAAGAAAATTCCTTTTATTAGTCAGATATCTGCCAGGGAATGATCCAACACAAGAGTATTTCATTGGTTCGACAGTGCCCATAATAAACTATTATTTTTCATTAATTCTAGTTCAAAATGAAGGCGATAAGCTTGAGAATTCTGTTATAAACTGTTTCTTTCCAGATGAAAAAAAAAAAAAAAAAAAAAAAAAGATCCCACTCCTTACGCAAAATTCACAAACATACTTATCCATACAATCTATCTGTCCTAATTTCTAATGAATACTTTAGGACAGACAACACATTCTTGCAATGCACATCTTAAGCTTTCTCAATACTGTAATTTTCATAAATATATTTATTATATGCATTATATGAATCCTTTCTATGTTGGGCATTTGGAATATAAATTCTCTTTAAAGCAGTATTTCAAAGTTTTCACAATTGACAGTTTCCTTAAATGAAGCGATTAACTATTTTTGAAAATAGCTTCAATTATTTCAAACACTAAAACATTCTCAATGATTCAGTTAATTATTTTATTAGTAACTAAAGTTCATAAATTTAATAATGTTTGTTATATTTTCATAGAATTAAAAATTATATATATATATATTAATCTGGAGTCGGGGACGAAACAGACTCTCGAAATTTTATTTGGTCTAAATTTTTAATTCTATGAAAAATATAACATAAACATTATTAAATTTATATATATTAAAGGTGCTACTTTGGTAGCACCATATTAAATAAGTATACAAGATCGCTTACCATTATTTTTAATTCAATAGAATTTAATCCACCCTGAATCTGAATATTTAAGCTTATTTACAAACACACGGCGAAAATTTTCACACACAAAGTCACCCATCAAACATAAACAAAATTTTTCCCTTTCAAAGCACAACCATCGCGCGCCTATGAAATCGAATACAATCTACCAAAAACTAGCGCGAGAAACGATATGAATGATGCAATTGGCAAATATTTACAGGGCTGAAATCTTTTAACCAATGAAATATACGGAACGAAGGTAAGGCAATCAGAAAGAACAAGATTTAACCAATAGGACGCAGTATCTTTATTTCGAAGTTGAAGTCATTTAATAGTATAATAATTACTATTTCTGAGCTGGTTTCGCGACAAATACAAATTGCAAGCAATTTAAAAACCATAATGCAATCCAAAATTTAAACAAACATACATATACACATCTCTTTTTTTTCACAAAATCAGAGTTTTGACATTTGACAATGTTTAAAAACTATTTTCATTTTTTCTTAAATTATTTCGAAATTATATTTGAGAATATAAAATTTTTGTATATTTTATAATAGCTGAAATAAAACATTATACAGATATTATAAAATTACTTAATTTAAAAAAATCATCTTAAACATACGAATGTTTTATCAGTATTTCATCATGTAAATTCTCTAATATTAATTAACTGATAATCAAATTTGGATTATTTATTTTACTTTTGCAGAGTATATTAAAAAAGTTTATTTTCGAGAAACGTTTTTGGATGAAGTTCTGAAACATCTCAATGCTTTGATATTTACACTGCACTTCGTGTAACAGTAAATATAGGAAACAATCCAAGCCGATAACTGGTTTATGTTCTTTGAGAAGTGAACTAGATTGGCAAGCTTATCGCCTTCATTTCACATGCGGACTATAAAAAATATATGCCCTCAAAACTATCAAAGCTTTGCTTGGCAAAAGTATTGCATGTAGAATATTGGCGCTAAAAATAAGCGACTAGAAATTACCCAGGAATGACTTTTTTAACTGGGCGCTAAGGCTGCTATACGATATGGTTGCGGAATATTCCTGCAGTTACCGTACTGCTTACGATCATACATTTGTAAATATGTGTTGTGTTTTTGAATTTCAAATGTTACCACGTGCAGTATATCAATCAAATCTTTTTACGCTAATTTATATACCTAAAAAACATCCAAATTCATAACCATGCCAAAAAAAGCGAGAGGAAAATATAAATCATATCGACCAGTATCGAACTATTCTGAAGCTGAAATATTCAGAAATTCCTCTGCAGTATTAGATGACACAGATCCTGTAGAATCTCTCAGATATTTGAAAGAAATATTTAAAGATAAACTTGAGGAAGATGTTATTGTTATGATATTTTCCGAATGTGCATACAATGGTAAGCATGGAATAGATACAAAATTTTAAAATATTGTTGAAATAGTTTTGTTTTATACTTTAATGTTCAGTATTTCCTTTTGGATTTAATAATATTTGTATCACAATATATCTGTATTTAATCTAGAAAGTTTGTATTTAAATACCGTACACGTATCGTTACTGTACTTGAGAGTAAAATTCACGAAATGTGTAGATTTAATCATGTAATACGGATTTCTCTAGCTAAGTACAAAATAAGTTGTAAAAAATATAGTGCAGATATTGTTTCCCGTAACGAAAATTCTTGACAGATCACACGAATTGGAAGTACTTCACTGAAAACAAATCAAATGTATAGTGTGTTGAGTAACTGTACAAGTGGGTATAAAAATGCAGTGAACCCTTACTCTAGCTCTTTTCTCATAGAAGTCTTCCTCTGAAGATAACAAATCAGCACTAATAAGTAAAATTGCATTATATATTTTTAACCCAATCACGACCATGAAATATGTAGTATGTTGACCATCAAACCCTCTAATTTCATTATCAGACCAAACTGCTTAACATCCTACCTAAATTAAAGAGTTACAGATCTGATTCTTGCGGTTCAGATGATTTTTTGGTAAAAGTATAGTTTAGGGTACCCCTTGGTACAAGGATACCGATTTTGTGCAGTTCTTTGACCCGTTATTTTGGCTTGCGAAGCGGCGATTTTTTCGCCAAAAATCGCTGCTACACAAAGCCAAAATAACAAAACAAACAATTGCACAAACTCGGTATCCATGTACACATCGACTTATTTTCACTTAAAAAAAAAAAACCCGAATTGGACAAAAATGGCATTGCGCACTCCTTTGACTTTATCAATGTACACGTCGACCTATTTTCACTTGCAAAAAAATGGCATTGCGTACTCTTTTAACTTTGTCCATGTACACGTCAACCTGTTTTCACAAAAAACAAATCCCAGAATTGCACAAACTTGCATTGCACACTCCCTTTACTTTGTCCATGTATGCTTTGATATATTTTCACCTAAAAAGTCGGAGGAGTCCCAAATTCTACAATATAGACAAACAAAAAATACATAATCTCAATAAAATGCATTTTAAACCAAACAATGAAATAACATAAAAAAGGAAAAACATTACACATTTAATCACTACCAAAAGCAAATATTCACTTACCATGATTTTTGAGTTTGCTTCGTACACCCGGAGCCACGTAAAAATAAAAATATCAGTCATACTCATAAGACTTTTTTCAAACCAGTTACTCTTTCTGATCGAACGCTTCACATACTGACCATCTGAACCTTTCTTCCTACAAATCCATCTAAACAGTTTTTACGTTCGACTAGACGCATATCCTTCCTACATACAGGACATTTATAATGGCTACTAAGTAAACCTTTATTTACACACCAGTCAATTAAAGCTCTTTTCCCTTTTCGCTCCAAATCATACAGAAACTTCAAATTAATCTTACTACATTCAGCCATTCTACCGCCTAAAGAATCTAACCAAAACACACCACAAAAACGCTTACAAAACATCCCGTGATTCAAAATTTCCCAGAATCATGCACCGGATTACGTCACAATAGGGTTTCCATAACATTCAACTACTTAGGCTATCATAAATGAAACAACAACTTGGCAATAAATCAAAACAACTTCGCCATAGTACAAGGGGTATCTTAAAGTCTACTCTACCCAATTGTTTTCATTAAGGATAGAACGGTTAATATAGTTAATATTTGCATGTTTATGAATGATATGTATTTTTTGTCATGTAATTTATCACATGGATATGCTTTAGACTATGAAAAGATTATTTATTTTGGTTGATCTTTACATTATGGTAACTTGGCGTTTTTTTTGGTGAAAATTTGGCGACCAACTCTCCTACAGCAACTCTCTATTTTTTTTCCCCGCCGCCATTTTGTCTTCACGAAGTAAAGACATGTTTCTTTTCTTTTTATCTACTGAACACTTCTTCCAAAAATCTACTAGCCGAATTACACTTATGCTAGAAATTTTATCTAACAAAACTGCTTAATCATGACAAATATTCACTGCAAAATTGGGAAAAAGTGCACAATACCATACTCCTTACGCGTTTTTCAAAATAACACATACACATAAACCATGTACACGCCGACTTATTTGTACTTAAAAAAAATCATCCCAGAATTACACAAAAATGGCATTGCGCACACTCTTCACTATATCCATGTACACTGCTTTTTTCTCATAAATTAGAAAAATTTCACGAAAATGCATAACAATTTTCTGAATCTTTAAACCCGGTAAAAAGAACATATATGAAATTACCTGATCGCGAAAAAGTATATACCCTTTCCAAATATGAACATTTCCACATATAAAATAAATAAATATCCAAAAACTTTTACCTCTAAATCATCTATTATATTATACACGTCACCAACGAATTCATACCGCAAGCATTAAAAATACTTAGTGTCAAATATTTAAATTATCTCCATGCACGTTTACTTCAACTTAAATGTGTACCAAATTCCTACAAACATAAAATTCACAAAATAACTATCATTTAATTAAAATATCACTAAACGATGTACACGTCGACTTATTTTTACTTAAAAAAACATCCCAGAATTGCACAAAAATGGCATTGCGCGCACTCTTCACTATATCCATGTGGAAAAATCCCCCAAATGATTTATGTATCGCCGTTAGAGGGCGCTTCGCTTCTGAAAAGGAATGTTAGTTTTTAGTTTGCGACGTAGTTAGTTAGCAGTGAACCTTCGATGCAACGAAAGTTGCTTTGTAAATAAAATGATTATTTTTGTAGATTGTTGAAATATTTCACTTCATTTAGAATTAGAACTACCTTTTGCAATATGGCGCATCGGTGCCGAGAACCTTTGGCCAATTTAGAAGTTTGTGTTTTTTAATTTTGGATATCATTTTATGCGAAGACAGCCAAGGTAAGCCTGTATTTTCTATTTTTATATAATATGGAAGATCTTATTGCTAAACTGAAATCGAAACGAAAGGTATTGAGGACCGGAGTGTCCAAGATATTAAAGAAAATTGAAACCGAACTGAATAAAGATGATAGTAGTATAAATGTAAATGTATTAGAAGAAATTTTAGACCAGTTAAACGAAAAATCAAAATCCTTGAGCAATTTAGACGCTGAAATAGAACGAGAATTAAAAGTCGAAGAAGACGAATTTGAACTTGAAATCTCATCCGCTTTGGAATATGAAGAGAAAATACAAGTGTGGCAGTTTAGAGGAAAGAAAAAGTTGAAAGAGTTGAATAAGTTGGAAAATTCGGACAATGCAAATAGATACACTTCTAATGAAACCGTTACAGAATCCCAAAACGAAAGTAACAAATTCACTCGTCTTCCAAAATTAACGATCTCTAAATTTTATGGTGATTCTTCGGATTGGTTAGAATTCATAGGTCAGTTCGAAAATGCGATTGATAAAAATCCGAATTTATCAAAAATAGAAAAATTAATTTACTTAAAAAGCTTTCTTGGTGGCTCAGCCTCCAAAGCTATTTCTGGTTTCGCTCTCATCGAAAATAATTACGAAGCTGCTCTTGAACTGTTACGTTCCAGATTTGGTCAAAAGAACATCTTAATTAATTCGCATTTAGGACAACTCTTAAGTACTTCACCTGTTAGAAATCCTAATGATATAAACGGATTAAGAAAACTTCTAGATCACGCCGAAGTACAGATAAGAAATCTTGAAGCATTAAAAATAGACTCTGATACCTACGGAAATCTCTCTTAACGCCTTTAATTTTGAAATTACTTCCTAATGAATTCGTTCTTGATTATAGCCGAAAAATTAAAGACGAAAATTGGGATTTAAAAGGTTTGTTAGCCTTTTTGAGGAACGAAGTATTCAGTAGAGAACGCGCGGCTTCTGTTAATTATAATTCTAGAGAAAAATATTCGCGATTGGAAAAGCATTTGCCCTTCAAACATAAACATTCTCCAGCCATAACGAGCAAGCCGTCTACAGTTGAGTTATTAGCGGCGTCATCCGAATCGCAGTGTCTGTTCTGCGGGAACACAAATCATAAATCTGCGGATTGCGAAAGTTTTAAGTGTAGAAAAGAAAAAAGGAGATCTTAAAAAGTGAATCGCGGTGTTTTTTATGTTTGGGTCGATTATCACCGGATTCCAAAATTGTAAACAAAAAATAAACTGTGCCTTCTGCTTTAATAAACACTCGAAAGCCATTTGTTATTCATTCCATCAGAAAAAAGATAATGAAAAACCTGAAAAGAAAACGTCGGATTCGAGCGTTATTTCCGCTGTTTCGTCATATAATTCCGATGAAAATAGATCTAATAAAAATATTATTACAAACGGCTTCTGCATTGATTCCGAAATAATGATAAATCTGAAAATGTCAGAATTCTTTTTGATAATGGCTCAATGAGATCTTTCATAACCAAAGATGTATCTACTAAAATGGAACTTCCGATTGTTAGAAAAGAATCACTTTCTGTTTATTCCTTTGGTGATAAAAGTGCGTTAGAAAAAAACCTTTAATGTTGTTAGAGCAAAACTAGAAAATGTAAACGATCCTAATCTTAATATATATATTGAGCTTCTTGAAACCGAAAATATATCCAATACTGTTATCTCTCCTCCAGATTTGAACTTTGCTAAGAAAAATAAAATTTTACAAAATTTACAATTAGCAGATTGTTGTAGAAAAAGTGACAAAATTGATATTCTCATAGGGGTAGATTTCTACTATTCTATAATTACTGGTAAAATTAAAAGAATTTCAAGAAATGTAGTAGCCACAGAATCTTTATTTGGGTGGTGTTTGCAGGGTAAAGTAAATAATGATCATAGTGAATTATTAACTATGAAAGTAATTGTAAATGAAAACTTGATATCAGATCAGTTACAACAGTTTTGGAAACTAGAAAACTTGGGTTTGGAAAGTGATACTCAAAACGACAAAACTGTTGATTTAGAAATTATGAAATCT